GACTAAATTAAAACTAATCTAGGATTGCCTCTAGAACATCCAAGACAACCTTCACTGGAGTTGATAGCTCCAACTCTTGGAGAGTAAAAGATCTCAACCTCTTGCAAAATCACTGTAGTATTTAAAAAGCTAATTCATGTTATTTGTTGATAATGAGCACATGGCCTCAGAAAAGAAATAGACCTTAAAAATTTATCTAAAAAAATTATAGATTATAAGCAATTGGCTTAGTGATAAAAAATCTATTTTAGAAATACAATTCTGGTAGTACTAAGTAGCGATTCCTACATATTCAGGAATTGGATTCTAAAGTTTGAATCTACAAGTACAATATAATGTTTAAATTGTGTTATTAGCTTGGTTGTATAGCTATGACTTTTTTCTCAAGTATCAAATAATTTCTTGGTTTAGACCAAATTCAATTTAGATTCTAAGTTGAAAAAATTTGACAACAAATCAAAGTGAGAATAAGAGTTGCAATTGAAAATATGCTCTTCACCAAAAATAAGCCTTTTGATGGAAAAAAAAAATCAAATAGAATGCTAGGTTTTGTTCCAAAATAGACCTATTACTTATTCATTAATATATTTATTTATTATTTTTTATTTATGAAGCATCTATTACAAGTATTGGAAATAAATAATGAATGTAAAAAAACTCAAACCATATAGACAAGAAGTTAATTGCATCAAATTATCTAGAAATAAAGTAGAGTTGAAAAAAAAAAAAAAAAAACTTAAATCCATATTGCTACATTAGAGGTGTAAAAATGTAAAATAGAATAAAATAAAAATAAATGTGCATGTTATTATGCAAAAAAAAAAAAAAAAAAAAAAAAAATCCCAAGAGATATTTATGATATTTTATATCTTTTTAAAATTCTACATAAATTCTCTTACTTAGTTTGTTCAAAAGAAAGACATTGCTATGTATTTTAATGATAAGTATATATCTATATATATATATATATATATATACACACACACAACACACAAGAAGAATCAATAAAATTACAATTGAAAAAGGAAAGAATTATTTAAAACATATTCTATTACAAATTTTATTAAAAAACATACATTGTAAATATTTAAAAATGAGATTAAGCTTTACAAAAATATCCTTATAAAATTTAATATGTAAGATATATGAACTCAAATACAATATCAAGCAATTATATTTCAATATGAATATCTATCTGCAAACCTATATAAATATTTATATCAGTTTACATATGGTAAATAAATCAAGAGAGAATGTCTAAAATAAATCAAAACAAGAATTAAGAACTATTATAATTATTGAGCCTAAATCCTTACAGACTTCTTCAAATTTTACTTATAAGTAGTTTATACTTTTTTTGTGTCTACAATAGAAAGTTATAAAAAGAAAAAGAAAAAGAAAAAGAAGAGATATGCGCTTTTACTTTTTTACAAATAAACAAGAATAAAAAAATATTTATTAAAAAAATATTATCAATTTATAAAAAAATCATAAGATAAAAATACTTTATAGTTAGAAATAGAAAATAAAAATCTTTTAATGCCTATAATAAAATGTTAGTAGTTTGATCCATTCCAAACTGTTATTACAAATTAATTTTTGGTTAAAAAAACGTAGGTTGTGAATAGAATTATAATATATTATTGCAATTTATTCTAAAAAAGTTAGTAAAAATTAAGCAAGTAAGGCCTTTATTAAAGTCTTAATAAGAAAATTACAAATATTGGCTTCTTTATTTAAAAATAAATATGATATTAATATAATAATTTTATATTTATTTCTAAAGTAAATAATTTATTACTATGACATTTTAATAACGTAGATTCTTTAGATCAATAAATATAGAAATCTTATTGAAGAGTTTGTAAAAAAAATCAATGTACATAAAATTTGTTTTTTTTTAGAGGATTTATAAAATAATATAGTATGATATACTTATATTCATACATGTGAAACTAGTTTAAAATATAAGACAAAATATAGTATTTAAGATTATTTTAATTCATAAAAACATGATATTGGATTTAATTATTTTATCCTCATAAAAATATTAAGATAGAGGGGGACAAAACTGTTTATAAGAACATGTCATATAAAAAATTTAAAAATAAATTAATAGTTGAACTAAAATTATTTAAAAACTAAAAAACTGGAAAAAATATAAATAAATATTATACAAAAGTTGAATTTAATAATTTAAAATAAAATTGTATTATCAAAATATAGAATAAATAACATAAATTAGAATTTGAATTCATATGCCAATGTTGATTAATTTTTAATTAATATAAAAAAGATTTAAAGAAGATAATTTAATGAAGAAATTATAAATATTAGATAAATAAAATAATTTTAAAAAATTATAATAGAAAGAACTTTAAAATAGTTAGTTTAGAAGTTAAAGTATAAAATGGTTTTAATATGATATTAAGTGTAGTGATGGAAAGATAATAAATTTAAAGAAGCCAAGGTTTTAATTTTGAATATTCTAAGATAATTTGTATAAGACAATAAAATTATTTTATAAAATTAGAAGTTGGTCTATGCTTACAACAACAATCGGAAATACTTGCAAGAGGTAAAAAATCGAATTCCTCTCTTAGAGTTTGTAAATTGTTTTTAAAAAGAAGCATATTGAGTTCTTATAAATTATTTTTAGAATATTATATATTCTTTAGAATGAGTAATGCTTTGTAATTTTACAAGTATATAAAGATTCTTATTTTATTCTTCTTTTTTTCTTTTTTTTATATTTTTTATATGTCATTATAAATGTTGCATGTATATTGGTATGAGTAAGATATAAATAGACGAATAAAAATTATATAATTGCTTAAAATCATAGAAAAAAGAATTATAAAATAAAATATCTATTTAGGTAGATTAAATTTAAGTATAATAGGAATAAGATGCATTTATATATAGAAAAGAATAAAATCCAAATTTATTTGATATTATTACTTAAGATTAAAATTTTAATTGAGATTTTAGTATTTAGGGCTTAAAATCATAAATTGAAGTGATTTACAAGTAAGTTAGAAAGTTGTGAAAAATTATAGTTTTAGAAGATACAATTAAAATCAAACAATTGCAATTAGTAGAAAAAATTCTAAAACACATGTAATATTCAATAAAGGCTAGGAAATCAAAATACAACTATACAATTACACTTTATTCGTACCAAAGTAAAAAGAGTAGTAGTGTAAGAATATATATTTATGAATAATAGCTCTTAAATAAGAGAGAAGAGATGTGTCTTCTTGTGGTTTAGGTCATAAATACAATAAAATATATAAATATATAAATAAATAAAAGAGTGCAATATTAGAAATTATTGACATAACTTATACTACAAAATATGTAACTGTAATTAAAAAATAAGATGCCCCATTCAACTACTTCTAGAAAAATAGCTTAGTTTTGGAGTAATAATTTTGGACTTCCAAATAAAGTTTGCAGGAGACTCTTCAAGTTTTTGAGAGAAAGAAAAAAGAGTTTCGACCTTTTGATGGAGTAACACTCTTTCTTAAAAGAAACTCAATAGGGTCCTTTAAAAGAGATGCATTTTTAAGATTTTGCAAGATTGTAAGTAAACATGGAACTTTCAGTTAATTTTTAAAGTATATAATTTTTGGAGCCAGTCAATCCAAAAGTAGTTAAATGTGGCATTAAGAAAAGAAGAAAGTAATATTTATTTTTGATAACTTTTATAAATTTTTGATATATATTTTTTAATATGAATATAATTTATGGAGGATTGTAGACTTGAACTACTCTTATAGGAAATTAACAAGTGTAATTTTACTACAATATGTAATAGAATAAGATATGCTGGTTTTGTGCATAATTATTGATTGCAAAAACAAAATTACAATATACCAATGACTTACTTTGAATTTTTTAAAAATAAATATAAAATAGATTTTTAAAGACTGATATAAATATAATAAATTATATATATATAATTTTATTCTTTTTAATATTTTTATGAAAACTAATAAAAATTTATATGTTGAAATTTAGAATTAATTTGTACAAAATTCATTAAATCTCTTCTGTTACACATGTTTTCCTGTTTTTATTTTACAGATTTTTTAATTTTATTTTTTATAATGTGAATCCTCATTATTACTCTTTCACTTTAAAAACATCTAATATAAACTCTACTAAAAATCCTAATCAATAAAATTAAGAGCGCAATTTTGACAAATTAGAAAAAATTGTGTACCTCTTTTATATTTATTTGATTTTCAATAAAAGACTCATCCTTCTTGATATATATATATATATATATAGTTAGTTAGTTAGAGAATTGTTAATGCTACATCTCGAATTGATATTGCTACACCTTATGTAACCTCCACATAACTTGAATTGAATAAAAAAAACATGCTTCTACTCTTAGGACGCATTTGGCTAGTTGTGTATGAAGAGGTCATGTGGGTGTAACAGATGTATATGTAATATGTAAAGAGATCTGTACATTTTTTAACGCAGGGCAGCGCCACAATGGATGAAGATGATCATCGACCACCTTCATCTACTTTGCTCGAACGATCCGGTGAGTAGCTTTCATCCAAGATACTTGCCAGTTGGCCGGCGCTGGATACCGGCCGTTCCAGTGGCGGACTCTCGTAGTGTTGTCGTAGAGTGTTGACAAAAAATGGAGTCTCTCTCAGTGTTTGTTTGTTTGTTTGTTTGTTTGTTCGATCCTCGACCTCTCCAATTTCATCATACGTTCCGGTGATCTCGTTGCCCTCATCACTTTCATCATTTTTCTCGCAGTCTTTTGACTATCCCGTGGCAAAGATCTGATACTGTTTTCAGAGAGAATAGTGTCCATTTGGTCTCCCTTGCTGTTTTCCTTGAACCCTTTCGACGCCATCCAATTTGAAGACTTGGAGAAGAGCAATGATGATGATGTGTTGCGTATCTTTGTTTTGTAAGCTCTCTGTTCCTGATACTTGGTGCGTGTCTGGGTGTCACTCTGTGCTTGTTCGAGGAGGAGGCTAAGTTATGGTATGCTGTATCTCTTTCGCCGATGTGCGCATGTGGTGTCGGGACGATCAGTTGGGAAATTCTCAGTCTCTTTAGGGGTTGCGCATGCGATATTTGGTCTTTCTGGGTAGAATTACCCGTGTGGTGTATCGACAACCTCACTATCGGGCGGGTGTGGAAAATTTTACTTTATTTGTACCAATGCTTGCGGTATCACAAAGTGCAGGATGTTGGTTGTGATCAGCAGTTGGGTTTTTCGCACCGTTAGGAATGCTCGTCATTGGTGTGTTTCTCGTCGTTGAGGGTTGGGGTTTTTCCCACGAGCTTTAGAGTTCTCCCGCTCATTTCTCGTAGAACCAAGCAATTTCATGCGGGTAGCTGGACACTGCACGTCTGGCTTAGATCTTTGATTGTCGATCTGAATTCGAGGGAGCAGAAGCTTTCAGAGTTACGATGTCAATTACTCAATGCCTGACCAAATAGGCAACATTTGAATCTAGGTTTTCTTGAGTTCAAACGTAATTTTTACACATTGACTTTTAGGTCTAAGCTCTTGTAGAAGTCCTGAAGAGTTTCCCCTCTTTCTTTAGTTGGCCACCCGTATATCCTCATTTATTTGCGAAGTGCAGCACTAGGCTCTTAAGATAAATTGATAAGATTTTCTTGAGCTTTGTTCGTAACCGCCAATTTCTGTTTAGCAAGGGCATTAACGGTTGGTCGATCAACTAGATGATATATTTGGAATGACTGCGAGTTCACTTACTCTGTGTCTTAAGATCGTTGCAAGGCATGCCTTTAAGTTTCTCCGACTGTTATGAATTCTTAGAGCTTGAGACTTGCATCAAATTTGGTCACTTGTGGTATGTCATCGCCGATGTAGTCAGTGATAGGTGTCAATTTAATTATTTATATGTATCGTTGAATGAATGTAGCTCCCTTTCCAGCTTTCAATGGTTTTCTTCTCACTCTGCATTTGGTTATATATTTTCAGAGTTTCCAAGTTACGCGATGGATAATAAAGCAATTCAGGATTTGCAAAGGGATAGTGAGGTTGTTGATGAGGAGGGTGAGCAATCACATTATTCCTCAGATGAGGTTCATGCTTACAGCGTGGATGAGGCTGTTGGTGCTAGTAATTTAGATATGGAAGCTGATAATGGAGCTAAGCTTTCAGACCTGGTCATTAGTGATAATACAGAGGAAGAATCAACCTATGATCTCAGCAAGGAGTCTGCATTTCAAGGCATTTTGGAGGAAGGTGAGGTACTTTCAGACATTTCAATCCTTGTCTTGGCGAATGCAATGATATGCATCTGCTATGTATCTCCCAAGGCGCTTTGACCTAAGTCAAAATAAAATTAAGTCTGAAACTTCATCGCGGGGGTATTGTATCCTGGATCACCAATGCTTTTTATTTTTTGTTTGTGATAGGTGGTAGCAGTATTGATGGCAGAATCTTGGATGAGGGACATCAAGATGATATCGCGGCTGTACCGACTTCAAGCAATAATACCACACCAGCTAGTACCGAGAGTGGAACTCTGGTTTCTGATGTTTTGGATGGTGATGCATCGTTGGATGACAGTATCCATGAGGGCCCAGCGAGTCCAAGCAGTAGCGATGAGGGAACTAGTGGGTATTTAGCAGGCAGTGGGAGCAGTTCCGCCAGTATTTGTAGTGCAAGTGGAGCGGATGAGAGTGTTGACGGAGTACTGATTCAGGAGTCCAACCGACCGGCGAGGCGAACTTGGGTTCCTGGAAAGCGTCATCCAGAAGAGGTCATTTTCACTCATTTTGTTAATGATCGAAGAGCGATTCCTATTTTGAGACAGTGATACTACTGTACATAACTTGGGTATTACTGCGTCGATAAGAGTTTCTTGGTTGAAAGTTATTTAGTGAAGGTTCTAGGGGCTTCCACTTTGTTGACTTTTCATAAATCTATTGCAGTGTCTCAACTAGATAAGCAAGTGCTTGGTGGTTTTACTAAATACGGCAGTTGTTTCCGCCTTTCGCAGGATGATACGTCTCTCTCTTGGCGAAAACACAAAAAGCATTTCTTTATCCTTAGCTATGCAGGAAAACCGATATATTCCAGGTTTGATTATGACGATGTGGACTGTATTAAGATTTTGTTTTATAGATACATCCTGGTTGCTGGGTTGTTTCTATGTGATGAAATCTAGCTGATGCCTATTATCATACATGCATAAACTGGAGGTCACTTTGTCTGTACTCACTTTGGGTTGGTTAGCAATTCTTGTGTTTATATACGTTGGAAATGACTATATATATAAAAATATATATGTATATATATTTTGAGGTCATCCCATGTGATTTCTTTTGAGCAGATATGGGGATGAGCACAAACTCGCAGGTTTCTCAGCGACATTACAAGCTATCATGTCTTTTGTTGAAAATAGGTATCAGTGAATCGCATTCTGGAGCAGTGAGTAAATGGATAGTTCCTGGGGGTCATGTTTAACATCGGCATTAGAGTTCGCTTCATCATCTGTATATCGCTATCTAACATATGATCTGGTGTGTTCGTAACGGATTACGTGACTTAATAACAATAAAACAGTTGGCGGATGCTGTTGATGTTGCAACTACTAACTTGGTGTCTGCTTGGAATGTGCAATTTGATTGGTGAAGTGGAGACACAGTTCGGTTTGTAAAAGCCGGTGATCATCAGGTATGATATCTTTTGTGCCTGAGATACACAAACCACCTGTGCAGCGTGTCTGAATTGTGAAGCGGTTCGCTTCCAGACTTGTGCAAATTGGAGACGTCATATTTGTTTACATAGTTACAAAGCAGCCAGTATTGTCCTGGTAGTTGGCCACTACGACTATGTTTTTGTCACTATTCCTGATAATGTGTCTTCAAGAATGATACAGTCCTCTTCGATTGTTTCTGTGCAGTATATTCTGGTAGTTGAATGAAGTGTCTTTGAACATGCAAATTGCCGCAGATAGTCTTTTTGGTAAAGGGCCCACTGTACCTGGTCGCAATTAGTGCCACTGAAGAGCCTGAACAGGTTATTAGGTGGCAGCTAGAGCTGCTACATGCACAGGTTTGTAACCGCTTATCCTACCTGTGTTTGTTTTCTGGTCTGTCCAGTTGCATATCTATATATCAGATGTATTTACCTTCAACTTATTCGTGCAACCTGCTCTCATATAGATGTGAAGTTTGTGCATGTTCCTAAACCACCTGACATGTTGAATCTTCATTTTTTGGATGTAGCTCGTTTTGATTTTGACCATGGGAGTGGAGAAATGCTTTGTGAAAAATTCAAAGTTTGATATGCGCCCCCTGCTTGGTGGAACGGATATGGTTTTTTCTCATCTTATTCATGGATTCAGCTGGTATTATTTCTCTACTTTTCATTGTAGCTCACGAAGGCACTCTATAAGCAATAGTTTTGCCCTTCAATCTTTAAAGCGGTTTTTGTTCTAATTGGTTCGATTACTTTACAGGAATCCAGCCACTTTCTTACGTGCGTACACTTGCCTTCCTCTTCCTCATGTTATTCGGCAATCGACTGGTGCTGCCCTACAAGACATGCCTAATTCCGGTGCTCTGTTTTCTATTTTAATGAGTGGTTCTAAGGTGAGTTTGGAGTACTGATTTCGCTTGCTGTTGTGTTTTACTGGTTTTTGATGTGGTTTTTAGATTTTTATTGAGGTATCCTTACCAGAATGTATGGGACCTCTACAGCTTCATGTTGAATTCCTGGCTTGGTTGTAGATTAACACGTGCACAATGAGTGGACGGAAACTTAGGAACTTCAAATAGGTATTTAACTCTTGGCATTTGAGACTTAAAATCCTGATGGATGTTTCCGTAGGTCATTAACTTGATGAGTCCTCGTAAAAGCTCACTTTCTCCAGACGACATCCTTCTCCTCTGCAACTACGTTTCCTCCTCTGACTCCTTCAGGTGAGGCTCAGTGTTCCTGCTTCACTGTTTCTTAACGTCTTGCAGACTAAGCAGCTCATTACTATCTTTCATGATGATGGCACTTTCTCAAAAGATTTTGTTAAATTGTGTCAAAAGTCATTGCCGTAGTTTGTGTTTTGGGAAGGTCACAAGACCGAAAGAACAGTCGTATCCTCTTTGTTCTGCTAGACACTGCAACACCAATGTGCATTTGGAATCAGTTTTCCGACTTTCACAGAAGTCTTCATTTTATCTCAAAAATTAACGGAAAATGTGTCTGTGTGCAGGTCAGCGGAGTCTTTTTTTCCCGTTTGTCTACCAGGATACAATCCAACAGCATTCCTTTACGCATATGTGCAGTACCTAAATGTAAGTTCTTTTCAGACATTGATGATCACGAGTACTTTCCTGCATTGTGTTTTTGCAATGAAAGTGTAAGTGTGTGGTTTTTAGGATTCATTTAGGCATTTGATTGTTTTCTGAACAACCTTTACCTCGTTCTACTTTCTCATGGTAATTGATTCTTTTCGAGATGCAATCACCCTTCCTGCTGTTGGATATCTTGCCCTGGTCTCATTCGTTTGGTTTTCAAATTTCATATCCTTCTCTTTATGCTTGTATCATGCTATTCTACGAATCTAATTCGCGTGATCTGTAATTCTTTTGTTTGAAAAGTAATCTTTTAACGAAGTAGTGTTTTGTTGGTACAGGATGACACATGCCTGTTTCTCCTGACTGCCGATCCAGATGGATTTTTCCAGCTTAAGGAGTACAGGTAAGTATATAGGAATTTATGGGGTCGAAGCTGATGTCGTTGGCATCCAATGCTCTTGTTGTTACGCACAAGATGCTCCTTCCAGCTTGTGTGGTAGGGTGATTCTGCTAATTTTTTGAACTAGATTGTGCTTTTGTTTACACGATTGCTGAGACAGTTTTAATATACAGTGTTATGTACTTGAGTCGTTAGATCAACTTTTGAATGAGATATTCATTGCAGAGGACGAATTGAAACCCTTCTGCGTGAGACCAATGTGCTAGCTGAGGTCACGAATGCAGTGCGGCTAGGAGGCCTACGTGTAGAGCAATTGCCACAGCCAAAGGCCTCGACTTCTTCGCAGGATTCAAAAACAAGTTCAATTTTTGGCTCCGATAGCGACCATGAATTACATGGTTCAGCCGGAGTTACCAGGCAGGGTGTTGCAGGAACTGGAGGGCCTGCAGGGCTTTGGCATTTTATTTATAGAAGTAGCTTCTTGGATCAGTTCGTGGCTTCAGAATTTTCTCCTCCACTGCACATCCCAAGTGCTCAGAAAAGGTACGTGTGTTTTTTTCTATTAGCTTTAAATGATGAATCCATTCTTGATTTCTTGGAAATCTCTCTTTACATCGGTGCTATTATCATTTGGTTAATGTTCAATTTCATCTACAAAGTGTATGTTACACGTGTACCTTCTCGAAACTGTGTCGTGCTCTTAAGACGTTTTTGAATTGTATCCTAATTTATTGCAAACCTTCGTATTTCTTCAAGATTGTGTAAGACTATGCTGGTAATCGGCATGCCTATTTGTTCTATGCCCTCTAGCTTTTGTGCTGTCCTCAAGGTTAGGTGCAGTGTGCCTATCAAATGACTATTCGCTTGATTTTTTAGAGACTTGTAGAACTTACTTGTATACACTGCTTGATCATACAGACTATATAGGGCATATCAAAAGTCATATTCGTCAATGCATGGTGATGGAGCAGGCGGACCATACAAAATGCAATATCGTCGCAATGAACACCACGGTCTGTCCCTCATTTTTGGTTTTAACTTCCTCTATTTGCAGCTCATCGATGGCATTTCAGTATTTATTCGCCTGTAGCAGACAATTGATTCATCTCGTAGGTTCTGTGCAGTTTTGTTGTCGTGGAGAACATCTGACTTTGAGCTCTATGCAGCTTTTGATCCGTTAGCAGATAAGGTATATCTTGATGGTTTGTTGCTTGTGAACCTTCGAAGTGTAAATGCCCATTGTTCTATTTTGTTTATCTTCTAATTATTGCCACCAAGTGATGGCTAATTTATGTGTGTTTATTGCCATCAAGGGTCGATAGATTTAAGTAGGGTTGTCAATGCACTGTCTAAAAATCTATATGATCAGTCTTCTTAATTGCATATAGTCACATTAGAAATTCCGCAGTTTTGAAGTCTTGAGAAGGCATACTTTTTCTGACTGTAATTGGTTGAGTATGATTCTAAAACTTTGCCTGAATTGTCCAGAGCTCAGCTGTGGCGGTGTGCAATCGTGTTTGCCAATGGCTACGAGGTTTGGAAAGTGAAATCTTCTTGCTGGGAGCAACTCCTTTCAGTTGGTAATATTCTATTGCAGGCCTGTATATTTCACTGGTGGACTTTTTAGATACAATTTTATACTATTATTTTTTTCCAGTACATGCAGAATTTATTGCTTACTGAGGATAAGATTCTGTTTATGATATAAGTCAGTGTACCACTCAGTATTATTCGAGTTATTTATTTATTTATTTATTTATTTTTTTGTGTTCGATATGTTCATTTAGATCCTTCAGATTTGATGTGTGCGTTAGTACTCTTCTGGCCTTGCAGTGTATTACTGTATTGTTCGGCGTTTGTGTGCCAAATGAATTTTTTTAGTTTCAACTGATTTTGGGAGACGTCTTTATGTAAATTTATTTCTGAGCTTTATATAATTGAATTAGACTAGTGGGATAGTATTTGGTTGCAAGTGATTTCAGGATTTATTTAGGGGATGTACACGGAAGGAGTACTCCGCTTCTAAACTTGATATTTTTCTTAAAAATTGGAATGTAGTTTCTCATTATCTGAAAATTCCATCTTTTAATTATTCATTGCCAAATCTCGGTACAATAATTCTATTATTGTTGAATGAAACATTCATGGCTGGTAACTTTGGGTTCAACCCTAGTTCTTTGCAATTTGATGTTACAATGGACTGACTTATTACACGTTCAAGTAAAATTAGATTCCAGAGACAGTTCTTGATATGAAACAGTTCATCAACGAGACGATTTGAATATTTCTGTCCCCTGGTGGAAATGCCTATCCTTGGAACCTTGCCATAATAGGCTAGACAGCGAAGAGATGTGTGGATATAGCAGGTGCAATTGAGCGGGGTGTGCACTTAAGACCAGCTGCAATCCTTGTGAGAGATTTACAATTGTAACGAGAGTTAGATGTGACCATCAAGAATCAGTTTTAAGATTGGGTTTAGAGGGAAGATGAATTTTTGAAATTGGTGTTCACCCAAATAAAGAGCGTGGGCAAGCTCCAGACTTTTTAGCATGTCTGTTCAAGTCGTTAGCCTAAGGACTAAAGAAGCCATTGAAAACATGCATCGTTTTAAAACAACGTGACTTAACTTGAACTTCGCTCCTAGATGTTCACATAACCATTGTTCTATTCTTTCCAATAGAATGCATTGGGAAGATAAAGACGTGATTCCAAAATTATTTCAACTAAGCATTTTAGTCCTTATGCTTGCTCCGGGCGATGGGCAAACTCTTCCAGTGGATGAAGTGTCCAATCCCAGCCTTCAAGATAAAACCCACAATACGAGATCTTGACTAGCTGTAAAATCCAGACAGTTCCAATACTAATGGAAGTAGGCAATATGGAAGAAAAATGAATTAAAAATAAAGTTCATTCGAAGAAAGAGTAACGTTAACACCGATTAGAATGTTTTCAGTATACTAAAGTGCAGCAAGGACTACAGAATAAACTTCCAGTAAGAAAATTTTGTTAAGTGAAACGCGGACCAGTTCAGACTAACCTTATGGAATTCACTCCAACCCTAATCAACCCTAAATACATAATCATGTTAACTAAGGAGGTGAGGTGTGCGGTTGCAGATCACGTGGCGGCCTGACACCAGCTGGCAGTTTGTGAACAGCGTTAGAACCCAGAGACAGCTCCAATCCCGTGTCTATCGGAGTCTCTGGGCTTGAAAAAGCTAGTGGTGTAACACCTGAAAATGTTGCAGGTGGGTACATCCGAGGACTCACGGAAGGATGCTTATCATGTGAAGAGCCTTTTAAACTTCGGGGCGAGGACACATGATGCAGCAACGGGGAACCAATTTCTGATGCGGAGCGCATAGAACTAGGACTAAATCGTAGCAACTGTTTCGGGCGATCGCTACCACCTGTAGAAGTGTTCGAGGCTACATGGCGACCTACTCCCTGGCTATGATTGTTAGAATCTGTTCTATGTAAGAGACGTGCAGGCATCTGACCAGTCTCCTCTTGCAGATGCGCCAATCTAGGTGCTCCCTCCGACATCCTCAACCGTGAAATTTTAGGAGAGGAAGCCTTTCCAGGAGTTTTCTCTCCCTGCCCTGGAAGAGAACTCCTGAAGGGTGAAACCACCGGTGCCTTCTGTTTACCCTCGGAAAATGAGAGCGAGGGTAGATCTGCGGGGAAATCAAAGTCATGAAGTGAAGGAACAGGCCAGCTGCCTGGAGCTGGAGGCCATTGAACGTGGGAGAGTCCTTCGGAAACGCCAAGTGAAACCAAGTCTTGAGCTGAGGTACCAGACAGCCTATTCATCAAGTGTGATGCTAAACTAGAATCCTCATTGTTGAAGGATTCAGAAGCTGTTCCAGTTGATCGTGAGCCTAGAAAACCCAACTCGTCTGAACTCCCAAGTTCCGCGAAGTTCGATCTTGTTGCACTGAATATCTCAGAATTTTTCGACATGCGCCTCGGTGTTTCTAACTTCCTGGAAGGATCTGCAACGGGGGAGTCTATCATATTGTATCTATTACCAGGGGAGACCCCCACGATGGTCACGTCATCGTCGCTACAACCATCACCTACTCTTGCAGCCGAAAGATCTTTTCGGATATTCCGCATAGGTAAAGTACGATCGGTTGATAGATTACCGCATGAGTGCTCCAAACCAACTCGAGGACAAGCAGCTCCTTCAGAATTCGTAGCAGGTCCAGATTGTGAGTCTACTCTTTTTAAAGATTTTTTCTCCATCGTATGGGATATTTTAGAGGCTCTAGAAATCCCAACTCCAGGGCTGCTCTTTTTGACCTTTTTAGGTACCTTAGCATCCAGAACTTGAGTGTCAGGTTGCTTATCATTCAAGTCCAATTGTCCATCAGCAGGTGCTGAGGTGGACAGTTCAGAATTCTTAGCGTTCATTTTGAGTCGCTTTGCGCTGGTCTTTTGAAGGAGCGAGGAACTTCTTCCTGATGTTGCTCCAAGAACGGCCTCTTTCCCATTCACTCCACCATCATGACCTGAAGGGGTACTCAAATCTCCTCCATTGCCGACTAGGCCAGGGGAGGGCTCACTAAAGGTCGCATCTCTCAACCCCTTTTTCATACTGGACTTGGATGTCTTCATTAATTTCGCTTTGGGAGGTTTACTTGGGTCAGACACTGGCTTTCTCTTGAGTACCCCTTTTCCTTTGTTAGGAATGTGCAGGCCTAGAACACCTGTGCCAGAGCCACCAGCGGCAGCCCAATCACGAGTAGCTCCATCCCAACTGATCTTTGTGGCGAACCTGCGAAGCTCGCATCAAATCAGCAGTAAGGAAACACGAGCACGGTTTTGTACTAACGGCCAGAAAATGCAACGGACAAATACAGCACACAAGAATATTCAAGACGACTTGTATAATTCGAGACAAAAAGGACATTATGAACATGTTCAAAGCACATTGAAAAGATTGTGCAGGAAAGAATTAGGACCTGAAACGATTCTCTACCAGCATTTCTGCCAGATTCCGTACAGCTTTAGAATTAGGACGAGAAGGCGAAGATGGAGAAGGAGAACCAAGTAGGTCTTCAAAAGTTAGTGGCACAGATACACCTTGTGAACGCAGATCTAAGTCGCCTTCATTTACAGTGGACTCTCCGTACTCAGGAGATCCCACAAGGAATTGAGTCACATTGAATTTCACATTTTCAGCCGCGAAGGGTAAATCTTTCGAAAGTTGCGGTTTGACTGAGGCCCGATTAGAGACCAATTTGGTTTCTCTTTCGACTTGTGCTAAAGCAGCTGATACTTCCCGAGAAGATCGCTTCACAGCTCCAGCCTTAATTGACAAAGTATGAGAATTTACCAGACTTCTTAGTGACACAAAACTTACGCCAGATGGGGAGTTAGCTGCAACAGATGTAGGTAACTTCTCAGAAGAATGCTGGGCAGCAACCCTTCTCCAGTTTTGCATAGCAGCTAGAGCAGCCACAAAGTGCCGCTGGAGAAGGAGCTCCTGGTCTGGGAGCTGCAATACTGCATCTAGTAAACGTTTCGTATGCTCCTGAAACAGCCAACAACAAAAGAGTAAGATATTTGACAATGTCGATGTCACCCTCATATCGTTCATGAGAACTACAAATTTCATGTGATTTAAAAAGAATACGCACCTCTGTTACTTTCAGCTGAGCATTTGTAGCAGCACCGAGTGCACTTTTTTCACTGGTTGGGTCCCCACTAGCTGCAGACGCATTTTGAGCAAGGAGCTGACGAAACCTCTCCCTGCAGTGAATTGGATGACGGTGTCGGCCTCTGTATACACCACCGTCAGGTCCTCCTCCCAAGGCATCACTCGCTAGCTGCCAATTACCTCCATACTCGTGGACTACTGCACAGAGCACAGCGTCCTCTCCATGTGTCCAAGGTGAAGCAGGAGGAAGCTGGTCCTGTGACTTCAAACTATCTTTCTTCCGTTCTTTTTCCAGCATTATTAAGGGCCCCTTCTTGGGAGGCATTCCCGAGATTGTAAGTTTACCTCCCTTCTCCTTTCCGCTGCTGACCACACTTTTCTGTACACCGGCGATTGATACACCACCCGGCTGGCCAACACTCTCCGGGCGGGTGGAACCTGGCGATTTATCATCGCTAGAAATTCCAAAAATTGTTCTAAAAATGTTGTCTTCCAATGTCCTTTGCTTCCTCTTGCCCTGAAAGTATAACAAATATTTAGGGGAATAGTCAGAGGCACATCAGTGGAGGATGACTTAAAATGGAAAGGATTTTTTAATTGTTAACCACTAGTTAGTTTAGTGCCATACAAGACAACACATTTAGTTTAAGAGTTAGCTAGTCTACGGACTCACGTTTAATTCTCAACAATTTACATCAAAGAGTCTTTAGTCAAAAATTTAAGAAAGAACCTTATCCCCAGGTGCTCCTGTATCTTTGCCGACATAGTCCTTTTTTAACTTCTTCGTGTGAGTATCAACCGGACTATCTTCCTCGAGTAACTTTGGAGCTTTACGCTTTCTTTGAGACGGGCTCCGGTGAGGTAGAGACATTATGTCAGAATGCACATCTTTGTAAGAGGGATCATTACTCCTTTCAACTTGATAACCTTCCCCAATGTATTTGTCTTCAGAATCGGACATCAAAGAACCTTCCGCCAAAGATTTGAATTTTGCTTTTTTCAGCTTTTTCCTTCCTTTTGATTTCAGAGTGACGTTCTCTGCACCTCGTACAGTTGAAGCCGCTTCAGCAAGAGCCCTGCTAGAAAACACCATTAAAATGAATAAGGTCGTTCACAACCCATTAACTTTCTGAAAAGGATAAAACACCATCCGCTAGATATTTAAAAATATTGCTACCTAAAAACATTCCAGATGACCATTGTAAATAAGAAAGTACCAGGATAAAATGACAGGAAAACCTAACACAATACGTTCTAATATCAGAGCCGCCATCTGTGTTTTTAACCTCAACATATTGAGATATAAATTACATAGACCCACCTATCTGCATCACGCATTTCTTCTTCCATTGCTTCCCATTCCAACTGCTTCTGTTCCTGATCATTTTAAAGTTGTTGAGGTCCAATATATAAACAAGTTTGCAACATAAGACAAAAACTTAACAGAAAAGGAATTACGTTTAGCTTTTTGTAGATTGTGTGATACTCATAACCTAGAAATACATTGCGGCTCATAATTAATTTTGGCGGCTAAATAAAATAAAATTTCTAAATGAAGTCACTAACATGTTAGGAAGATAATAAATAGAAAAAGTCATTCAGGGTTTCCAAAAAAGGTTTGCAAACCTGTTGCTGAACAAGAATATCAACTTGCTGACGATAGGCCTCATCGGCTAATGCGGTGTCCCAAGCTGCAAAATTTTAAATAAAAAGAAAACATCTTCACAAACAGCTCGTCATAAATTACTATAGAAGGAGCGAGGAAAATTGATGTGCTCACTCCTTTTGAACTTTTGGACTTCAGCCACTATTTTACCCATTATACGCAGAGAGTACTTCTTAATGAATGTCCATTGGCATTGATCAAGAAGAAAAAAACATAATATTGCACTAGGAAATGGTGAACACATACTCTCATAGAACAACGGTTCATTGTCCTCGTCAATTTCCGCTTCTTGTTCCTCTTTCAGCTTCTCCAGTTGATCTAACTCCCATTCTTTCTCCTCAAAGGCAACCTGTACCCACAACAGACTTCAGAACATGCAAAGGAAAATCTTTGTAATGTTGCCTCTCCCTGTAACAACCACTTAATGGGTAAAGGGAGACAAAAACAACATTAGATGCCAAAATGACCTCCTCCATCGGGGAAGGCTTCAAACATGGAAAGTCTCCATCTATGGGAGGGCATCAATGTGAAACTCATTAAAATCAAGATCAAAACCTAAAATAGTTTAATTGAGGCAAAATGACGGTTTATAATGAGCTCTTCTCATTTGAAGGGCTCATTATCAGAATTTTATCTAACGTACTCAAAAACTGCTTCAAATCTAATCTTGAAAATCTATTGCTGTTCAGAACAGACTTAGCAGTGGCATAACCATCATCAATAAATGGTCAAGGCACACTTTAACCAAGAAACTAAAAACCCACACTAGCAGACAAAACAACGCTAGTGAGGCTTACAGTATACATCAGGCATACCTGTGCAACGGCCATGTTGTCAACTCGCGGATCCCACAATTCCAAAAATTTCATCGCGTACCGCTCTACTGGACGCAATTGGTCTTCGAAAGAAACACTCCCTCGGCCAGATGCTGCTGCAGCAGCTGCCATCTGCCGCACATCAGCCAACATATCTATTTCTTCGTCTGCATCAGTGGGAAGGATTGAAGACTCCCCAAATGTAATGTCCTCTATTCCAACTCCAGTGCCACCATCTTCTAAAACCTTTTCTCCTGCCGAAGGACCATCCACAACCGCAGCATCAGTTTGAACCTTTCCACTTCTTCCATTTTCATCCAAGTCATCAGCTAGATCTTCATCATCCAAATTGCCAGCAAATAGTTCTTCGGTAAATTCTTGGTTTTCAGCAGCTTCCTCCTGCTCCACTCGTTTCATAGCCATGTAATCCGCCTCATCCTCCGCATTTTTCAGTGCTGCTTCTACTTCTGCACTTGACAGTTCTTTCTGTCCAAAAATTTTGATGGACGAAGTATCTGGAAGTTCCGAGATAACAGAACTTGATACAGCAGTGGTTCCAGAGCTCTTGTCTGATGATCCACCAACTTTGATCCCCTTCAGTCCAGAGAAAAGCTCCATGGGATCTAGTTTTTTGAAAAATTCTGTATTGTAACCTCCACTTTGTATCACCAAATCGTCCAGAATACGCTTCTGATTGGCTTTCTTCAGAATGTTTTCTTCGATAGTGCTCTCGCTAATCAGGCGGTAGATGTGAACTTCTCGAGTTTGGCCTATTCGATGACACCTATCCTGAGCTTGTAAATCCATAGCTGGATTCCAATCACTGTCGTAGAAGATGACAGTGTCAGCACCAACAAGATTAATCCCCACACCTCCACTCCGCGTCGACAAAATGAAAAGGAATATTTTCGGATTAGTATTGAATCGTTGCATCAGAATCTGTCGCTGTTCTGGTTTGGTGGACCCATCTAGACGCATGTACGTGTAGCCATACAAATTGATGAAGGATTCTAATACATCAAGCATTTTGGTCATCTGGGTGAATATCAATGCCCTGTGACCCTGAGATTTGAGTCTCCGGAGTAGGACTGCCAACTCCTGCAATTTTCCACAGTCAAACTGCAGAAGCCTTCGATCAGGAAAAAATAGCTGCCGTCTAACCACCACAGGCCTAAGAGGGACCAGCATGGAGCTAGCTTGTTGCAGAATTTCTTCCGAAATTGATTGCTTCAGAACTGAGCTTGTAGGTACTAAATGGCTGCACCAAGCGACAGGAAGTGGAGCTCGGGCAGCCGGAATAGCGAAAACAAACGCAGAAATTAGGTCCATCATATGTTCGCACCGAGTGAGAGGCAACTGTACAATATCTGAAATTATGCTTGAAAATTCCAAGTAATTCCTTGGATTAGCGCCCACCCTGTGCACATCATAAACAGGATGTAATACTTCCACGCTTTTCAAAAAGTCGGCTCCGTAAAGAGGTTGCCGATTACAACGAAATTCGTTGAGCATCGACATTGCTAGATCCCTCTCTCTTCGGCGTCTTTTCCTGTTCTCCCTGAGAACTGAATGGATCTCTTCCAAAACACCACGAACTTCCTTGCTCGGTTTGTGCTTTGAATAATGCTGGTTCCAAGTGTCTTCACCAGTGCTTGCTAGCTCAACAATCAATGGACCTGGGGTCTTTATCTTAACTACCTCGTCTGCCTCCCACTTATTCATTGTTCCACTGAGCTGATTAAACTTCAAGTTCAGCGTTTCTGTGTTGATCCCATCAAAGGGACCCCTAGACATTGCAGAGCAGGTAGCAGAGCTTAAATGGACCTCAATGCCAGGCATGTCAAACGAAGAGACGATAGGACGGCCTTCAAATAAGTCGGGATGATTACAGACTTTCCGCAGCTGCATCAAAACATTAATGAGGCCTAGAAAATTACCACTTGAAAGAGTTGCTTGTGTATCAGAGCTGGCCATAAAATCTTCGTAAAGATTCCGTTGCCTTTTCGAAAGACGGCAACGAATGACGTGTTCAAACTTTCCAGGCAGCTGCTTCTCTACGTCCTTCTTCAAACGCCGTAAAAGAAAAGGACGTAGAACATTATGCAACCGATCCACTAGCTCCTTGTTTACCTGAGAAAAAGTTGAACTTCCAGTCACTGACAGGTACCTAATATAAAGTATAATAGTTATAAATTCTGTTTATGTATCACCTAAGCTGTTGTGTTTCAAATTCAAAATATGTTCAGCGTTGGAAGATAACAATACCTGGTCCTCGCCCTCAACCATCCCCGTTATTGGATTGCAAAACCAGTCCCGAAACTCTTGATGGGACTGAAAAACGTGAGGCATGAGAAAATGCATTAAAGACCAGAGCTCCATAAGATCATTTTGCAGAGGAGTCCCAGTAAGAAGGATTCGGCGCTTAGAATTAAAGTTAAGCAAAGTCTGCCATCTCTGTGATTTCCAATTTTTGATAAGATGCGCTTCATCAAGTATCAAATACTTCCACTTCTTTCGCTTGAATGCTTTGGCATCTTGAATAACTAAACGATATGTGGTAATGCACACATGAAATGAATTAGGTCTTGACCATCCCTGCCGCTTCAACTTCCTTTCCTTAGCATTCCCGAAATAGGTCAATATCTTGAATGCAGGGCACCATTTCATGAACTCGGTCTCCCAGTTCAGCATAACACTTGTAGGTACTACGATCAGATGCGGACCCCAAATACCTTTCTCGCAGGCTAGGTGAGCTAACAAAGCGATAGTCATGATTGTCTTTCCCAGACCCATTTCATCAGCTAAAATACCATTGAGCCGCTTCTCATACATTGTAACAAGCCAATCAAGCCCAATGTGCTGGTATTCTCTAAGAGAATGCTTCAAAAGAAATGGTAGTTTTGTCTTCACTTTAGTCGTGGAAAATGTGTAACCAGTAGGTTGTGCTGATTGAGCAGCTGCAGCAAAATCAGCAAGCCTGTCTTCACTGTTTTTTTCATCCCCTACTTCCAGAGTCTTTTGTTCCACCGGTGTCTGATCCACGACTTTTATACTTTGATCTTTGTCGAGAGTAACAGGATGAATAGTGTTTACAATGTTTTTGGATTTGTCTTGAATGTTGTATTCGGGCTCCTGTGCTACCCCGTCAGCAAGGTTCTCCAAGTCACATACCGAACCTCCGTTGGCTAGCAAAACCTTATTTTTCACTGGATCTGATGTGTGTATCCCAGTATCCTCATTGAGCATAGAAGAAGATAAAGCAGGTAGGACAAGAGTTTCATCCGAATTTGGACTCTGCTTTGTTCCTCCCATTTTTGAGATCTCTGTCTTACTTGGCTCATCAATCACCTGAATTCCCCTGCTCTCATTCGACGACCTCATCATGATACGATCACCTCGCCGCCTTGCAGCCGCAGTGACCTTTGCCAAAGCTGCAGCTGTATCAGCATCCACCTCATCATCTCCCCCAAGCAACAAGGATGTAGAAAACAGTGTATCATTAGAAGACCCAGCTCCCAGTGCTCCATCTCTCCTCAAATCATGAGCATCAGCATGAAACGCCTTGCCATATACATCCATCTGATACGTTCCGCAAGAGGATGCACCAACCATCATCAGGAACATAAGATGATAAATTATAGCATATCTAACATGCAAAGCCGGTGGTATACAAAGTGTAGTCAAGCTAAATCACAAGGCACTTCATAGAATCAAAGTGTTAGTGACACAACCAGACAAGTTAACGATCTATTCAACACCTCTGCATATATCGTTTCTTCAAACAACCAAGCTACATTCTCAAGCGGACACACCTTTTGAAAGTCTCTCTTATTATTATCGAGCAAATTTGCCTCCACAACCTCTTGCTTGACCTCCAACGTATTAATAATCTTGGGGCTATTCACTACCATTTCCATCTCAGTTAATGGCAGAGACTGGTAATCCCGCCCACTTGTGCTAGGTTCACCCATCCTCTCTTTGGCATCGACAATGTAATGAGCTTCCTCCTCATCATCCTCTTCATCACTACTGGATCCACTAGTACCAGCTTCACTAGTCCGATCTCGTCGATCAACCGAGAAGTCATCAATGTCTTCTCCGTCAAAATCCATACCCTGCTTACAACAAATTGATCTCATGAGTAGATATTACATCGAACTCAATAGAAGTTCAACTAAACATTAGCATTCTGCAGCTACATTCGACAAAACATTCTAAAGTAGATAACTCCTCGCTTAAAATAAAACTGAAGCTTATCTTATGTGATAGCAGACTTTCAATTACGTCAAGCGAGATGAAATCTTGTTCGAGAGATTGGAAAACAATTTGAGTGAGACAAAATGAAATATATTTTTCAAAGATCCAAGAGCAGTTGTCAATAGAAAAAGAAACGTTCTGATTCAGAGAAACAAGCGTTCGACTTCTATTGCTGAGATTACCAGTATTCATTTAAGCACACCGTTTGAAGGTTTTTAAAGCCAAATCGGATAGAAAAGTTAGGGATTTGCATGAGGCAGACCGAATGGGCAAAGACACTTACAGATCTGTACTTCGCCAAAAGTTCTTCTAATGACATCTCGCTCTCCAGCTTCAGTTGATCGATCTGCACGCATCACCAGACAAGCATGCATTACATTTCCCAACTCATCCATTTCTGAACCACTGATGACCAAGCTAGCGCAACGCGCTTCAACAATCACCCCAATTTCTACCAATGCACCAGTCACAAATAAACCCTTGGTAACTAAAGTGATAGTAGCGGGGGGGCACAATACAACGTTCTAACTTAACGCAGGGCAAGAACCGATTTTAATAATTTTAGAGAAAAAAGATACTGACCTCATTAATATTACTGTCACCCTCTTCCTTGGCAATGCGTTCCTCTTCCTCTAAGGTTCTTTCATCATCATTCTGTACCAACCAGCGCAGGAACATTCGTTAGCAATTTAATCCGTATTTAAGTCCGCATAGAAAATAGAAGAGCCTTCTCAACATTTCGCTTGATAATTATACACTTGCCTACTCAGTAGAACAAAATAGTCCATGGAACCAAGACAACCGCAGAAGCCTAAAAGAACGAAAATAGAAGTAAAAGTAGCAGAAGTTTTACAAATTTACCTCATCAGGCTCATCTCCCAACACTGTAGGCATGTACTCCTTGTCATCCTGCGAAGGATGACAAAATTAGTATAAAATGTAAAATACTAAAATGCTAAAAAAAGTAAAAAGTGAAAAATATTAGGCCTCAATAAACAAATTGACATGTTGACAGCATACCTGTGAAGATTCTCTACCTCTACCAGGCTGCCTGCAAATAACACAATTCCAGGCAATTTTGACAATCACGGACGATCAACGATAATGAAATAGTGAAATGCACCGATAACTTCTACAGCTGAGCCGCAGTGTACAATGCATACCTGCAACTCTCCGATTGGATGCTCCAAAGGCTCAAGACCAGAATATTCCAATTTCTCAGATTTCACTCGAGTTGAAGAGGAATTAACAGGTACACTATTCTGGTGGGTAAGCTCAACGACAAGCTTAGCTGGATTTCCAGCTGCCTCTCCTGCTGCTCTTTCCTCAGAAAACGGAGGGAGTTCGCGGCCAACGTCAGAATTAGTCATATTTGCTTCTCTATCTCCGCCTATACCCAGTTGAACTACCAGTGTGTCATTGCTAAATACGGATGCATCAATAGTACCCTCTCTAGAAAACTCTTTTTCCTTGTTCAGCAATGGAGGAACTGAGGCAATCTCATCGAGCAGCCCATCACCAGTAGAACCCAAGCATCCCTGAGGAGGATGAAGTTGTCCAAGCGATCTTTCAGATGCAAGGCCAGAAGGTCCTTCGGATGTCAAGATTGGACTTTTCTTGAACTCATCAACAGGTGCAATATCGCCAGAAAGAGCATAATTGGAATCCTCTGCTACCCCCTCTTTAACAATTCCGTCATCTTCATCTGTTTCACCACTATCATCCTCCTCATCATCTGCCTCACTGGCAGAATCACCTAAGAAATTGCAAGAATCAATAAGCACTTTGAATCGCCTTTTCTACGTCAACGTTTAGCCAGATTTCTACCACCATCCATTTGCATGCTAAAACAAAACAGAGGCCTCTGCGTGTTTTACATTGCACCAATCGAACTTTCAACCAACTCTTAAACCGGACGTGTCCAAGTATGAGGGCATCGATTCTACATAAGCAAAATATCCTAGATAAAGCGAAAAATGAAGCTAAACTACTCGGTGCTAAGTATGAGACCATGCTGAAAAAGATTATGATGTGCAACCTAATGTAAATTGCAGGAAGTCTTAACAAAGACCAACCTCTCATTAGTTTGTACGCATTGAGAAGGTCTTCAAGCGGAAGCTCACTCTCCCTTTCCAATGCACTGAGCTCCTCTTTCCTTTCATCTTCAGTTATCAAGGCTTCATCAGCTTCTAATGTGGTTTCATCATCCTCCTGGTTAAGGTACCCAAGAATGATACATTTTTATCAGAAGATCGAGAAGCCTCACTAACGTAATCAATGAATGAATTAACGCTCGCTAGATAGTCAACCAAATTCAAAACATCAAGAATACATTACAAAAAATTGAGGTGTTTAAAAACTCACTGGTTCATCTTCTTCCTCTACCATGAAGTCATCATCACCACCTTCGACCTCCATTCTTACTGCTCCGTCCAGATTGTCAACATCGCTAGCAACAAGAGGTTCCTCTGAGACCACTGGCAGCACTTGAGCAATTGTACTAGGACCATCCTTAGGCCCTGAAGGTAAAGGTTGACTGATTTGTAGCTCATATGTAGTTGTAGTATCAGCAAGATTTTCAGCAAGCATCGTTGAATACCTGCTTACATTCGTATGAGAAAAGCGATTAAGATAGATCTCCTGAAGTAGTTTCGGAAACTATATATGGGCTTACGAGCACCAATAATTAAGGCCATTCCAATCGTCAACCTCAAAAAAGTCAAAATTAAGTGCACTGAATGGGAAATTATAACTTACGTCTCCATGAAGTTTTCAACTCTCCCATTCATTGGAATTTGAGCATTGGGATAAACAACTAAAAAATGTAGACGGACGTCATTACCTTCAAGAATACGTAATTCATAGGATAGCTACAAAAATAAATCTTTGTAAATATGATAAGGAAAAGGGCAATCTTACCTCTCTGTTTGTCCTAGTAAGAAGTCCAGATGCTTATCAAGCGCCTTCTTCTTTCTTTCCTCGACCAGTAATTGCTGTTTGTAAGACACCTGTCAACAATAGAAGACTAAAATTTAGAACATAGATGTTAACATCAAACCAATCTTCAAAACACACTACCTGAACACCAGCAATATTTTCTATCATCCATAACAAAAGAATGGGACTGTGCTTCAATAAACATAGCGGCTACACAAGAGTAGCCATGCCCTTCTCACACAAAACTAGACCTAGAAATACAGCAACATCAAAAATGTTTAATGTTAGAAATACATGGCCTAAGCACGCCGATTACAAAAAAGAAATAGAACGTACTTACTCCCACGGATGAAAGTTTCTCAGTACGGAAAAGAAACTGAGTAGAAACAAGTTTTAACCTTAACAAAGAAGAAATGAAAGAAAATAAATTAACCATGATAAAACAATCTGAGCCGATATGCTCATACAATCAGATCGATGCAGGTAAGAGTTACTGTACCAGCTTTTCGACTTTCAACCAGAACTTCCTGACATCTTTTGCAATATTGCTAGCCACCTTCCGCATGCGCTGTTCCTCTTCCTAAAAATCAGAAGCATTTTCGGAACATTAATTATGCCCTTAGCATAGCACGCATTTTCTAAACATCAAATACAATTGTCAAAGAATGCCACACAGTGTTCGACGCTGTACACTCAAAATGATTGAAAAATCATCCCACCTTCAATTTTCGGTTTTCTCTTGCTACGACATCCAGCTTACTTCTATTCACTCGCAATGCTACCTTCTTAGCCTGAACTAACTTCCATTTCCGCTCCCTTTCAAAATCCTGCCATCACCACCAAAAACATCATGCTGTTAGAAGCTATACTGCATACTTTACAAGTAATCTCGAAAGCACAAACAATATAAAATCCTACATTATCTTAGAGAAAGAATCACTCCATTTAGAGGAAGTAGCGTTTCCAGCGGAATCATCCACAGAATAAAGGAATCATGTGAACATCCAGATTCAAGAACTTGAAAAAAAGTGAAAAAAGTTGAAGGTAAAAACTCACTTTAGCCAGCCACGTCATCTCCTCGATTACAAAATCCCAGTGAGTCTTAGGTCTGGCAGGTTCCTTGCTCTTGGGTTGGCCTTTCTTGTCTTTGTTAGACTCTAAAAACTGCATTAGAAATTGAGTAAGTGTAAAGGATCAGGTAAAGAACCTTGGAGCCCTTGCTCATAAATCGGAAAGTACCTCCATCATGCCTAGGCAGAAACTTTAGTTTTGCATCTATGACATGTCCTCCACCGACTGAATCATCACACCTATTCCATTTGCTCAAATACTACTTGAAAGTTCTCTATCAACTGTAACTACAACGTGGAAAATGCTTGTCTCTCACTTTTGATGATAAGTTCACAACCGACCAACAGATTCAAATGCAAAGCGTCTGGATTGCAGAATCTGCCAAGCGAGCAAACTGCTGATGTATTAATTACATTAAGACAAGAAGACAGGTATTGAGAGAGATCCAGGCAACACCTAGGACTAGTTGTTAAAAATTACGCAACATGCTGAGACTGAACGTAACGGCAGTCAAATACAGTTCACACTTAAATTTTGCGGTATTGAGACTTAACATGTCTTTATATTCTGAAAGTGGAATTGCAGAAATAAACATGTTTTAGTTGAAGCTAATAAAAGATCCACACCTCTTGCTTGAGAAGTATTTCATCAGCTTGGGCGAGCACCGAATCTTCATGTTGGCGTTTTCGCAAAGCCACGAGCCGCCGACGAGATGCCAAAGTACTCTGCGCAGAAGGTAACTCTTTGCCTCGAGCTGGATGAACTCCATCTCTCCGCTCACAATAGGATTTTCCGCTCACTCGCCTCTCAGTAGAAGAGCGCCCCTCGACCTTTTTCCCGATCACTTCTTCCCCTACGTCACTCTCCTCACAATGAAACTTCCTAGACACCGTCTTCTCCGGAACAGGTTGCCTCCGATCCCTGTCATGAGTCACCTGTTCTTCTCCACTCTCCCTCTCATGAGGGGAATTTGCAACCTCGATCACCTCAATAACAGGTTTATCCTTCTCCCTCTTATGAATGACCTCCTCCTCAGTATCTTTTCTCTCACGAATTGGACTTCCATCAACTTCCGTCCAAAAAGGAAGCTGCTCTTCGTCAGCTGCCTGTCCATCATCCTTCCCCTGATTAGATTGTACTTCATCAGACACCTCGTTATCCGCAGCTCGCTGAGCTTCCTGTCTCGTAAATTGTCCCCTCGTTTTCTGAGACCCGGGCGAAGGAGAACCAAAATTCTTGCCCTTTGCATATTTGGAGCCTCCATTGCTAAACGGACCCACAATTTTCACTCTAACAGGTACTCTATCCTGAGGCTGAACCGGAGTCATCAGGGAGGACCCCTCAGAAACTGTTTCCTCGACAACAGTCGAATCCCTCGCAACCTCCCGGACTTCAGACGCGACAGGTGCGGCGGACTTGCCCGCCGAACTTCTTGTTGCCCGCACCTTATTGCTGACAACATCGCTAAGAGATCTTGCCCCCTGCTTTGGAGCGCCAACAACTTTCCTAGGTCTTCCCCTGCTTGCATGTGGCTTCTTCACCTGTCCGACAACATCTACCGATTGATTACTTGTTGCAGCGGGCGAAACCTCCTCCAACAGTGTCGCACCTCTTAAATCCTTGACCAGAGGATGGCCACTTTCCACGCTCGAGGCTTCAGGCTTTGCACGGTTTCGCCTCCCATAGCATTTCAGTTGCTGCGACGAAGTCTGTTGCATTTCTTACCCTCTTGTAACATTCGCGCTTTATGCACTTCCAATGCGAAAAAATCCTTAAAGCCTTATTCAACCCCTTGCCAAAATCAACTAACTCTCGAAACCTCCGCGTTCCAGTAGCCTCGACAGGGAGCAAAACCCACCCTCACCCTTACACTCCTCTCCAATGCTTTCACCCCTCCCTGAAGTCTGCAATACACAAATGCCTCCGCCCAGAAATTCTTGTTCCCAATCATACACGTGCGCTTCACACTCTTCCCGAGCACTCACACGTTCTGCTTCAATCGTCAATCACTTAGCAATCGTCTTCCTCTCAACCCGAAAAGTCACAACCTCTCCACTCCTTCCCACCGCTTTTCTCGCAGCTTCACAAATCCTCGTCCCCAATCACCGCCACAGACCAACACTCATCCCCTTCCTCCCCCTTCCTAGGATTCCATCTGTTCTTGATAAAACCTGCCCCAAACCGCGAAACCAAAAAAACCTGCCATACACAAACCGCACACATCCACTCTCCCTGATCAAGTGCAAGGCGCTACCGAAGGTTGTCTCGCAAGAGAAGAGAAGCCGGGACTACCGCGAGGAGAAAGGCAAGAAACCCTAGCTTAACTTAGAAGCACGCCACAGAATCACGAAGCTTCCTACGCATCACGAAGCTCAATATTTCCTTCCGACTGCTGCTGCTGTTTGCGCAATCGGATGCCATGCATCTCCTCGGTGCCTCGAGAAGGCAAATGGAAACCCTAGAGATGCACGGAAACAGTAGCGAAAGTGCACAATCAACACAAACACTCTTTTAAAAAAAAGGTCCAAAAGCAGAACCAAGCGACGGATGCCCTCTCCTCCCTGGCTGGCCAGAAGGACATCCACTTCCCGTTTCCCTTCCCCTTCCCCGCTTCCCTTGCCTGTCATTCCCTTCCTTGCCTTGCAATAGCCTTCCACTGCCCTTCCCTTCCCTTGTCTTCCCCTTCTCTGCCCAGCCCCTCGCTTTGCTTTGCTATGCTTTGCTTCCCTAGGCTTGGCTTAGCGTAAGCGTGAGTAGAGGGGGGAGCTACTTCGAAGAGGAGGTTTTGGTAAGAGGACTAGAAAGACGACGAAGACGACGACGACGCAGCATTGGCGGTGGTGGAGAAGAGGTATGGTAGGCTTCGTTCCATACCTTTGGAGGAGGAAGGAAGGAGACACGGTGGAAGCGCCGATCCTTGAATCTTATGCCATTTCCCTTGTTCTCTCTCTCTGTCTCCCTGTCTCCTCGCTCTTTCCCTCCCTCCCCTTCCCTTCCTTTCCCTCGCGGCAAGTTTGGCAAAGCCTGCGTCGCCTCCCCACGGTCACCCACACCCGCGGTGTCACTCATTCACCCCCACAGATTGTGGGGTAAGGGGGGGAGGAGTTGGGGCTTCCTCCCCCATCACCGCGGCCCTGCCACCGAATTGTGAGTGAGTCCTGGGTGTGTTGGGGGGGGATTGGAAAAAGGATGTTCGTAAGCTGAAGAATTGTTGATCTTGCATTACCAGTAGCCCCTCCCTCTCCCCTTATTATTATTAATAATTCTCTCGCCTATGTATCACCATGTTTATGATTCTTATCAAAATTTGAAGCCTTCTTTTGATCCTCTTTTGGAGGTTTTCACAAAAAGTTGACATGGTCAAATGCTTAACTCACAAGATTACACTAGAATACAAATCCTACTGTTTGTCTTTTTGTTTCTTTTTTCTATTTTTCTTTTATCTTTCTTTTCTCCGAAAAGTTTTATATATTTTGTATTCACTTTTAAAGATTTGATTATAGGCAACTATTGTAATCTTACAACTTAAGATTATTCTAATGACATTTGTTTTTATTTTGTTTCATAGGTTTGTAATGGAAACCATATTGTTGTATTAAATTTCATTGTATTGTATAATTGTGATATTAGTAGTAATTCTATATTTTATTATAACCATATACTATGAGAATATGTATCAATATATTTTTAATTATTTTAATTAATTTATCATTCAAACATATAATTTTTTTATCTAACAACAAATTTTTTTGCCATACTTCATCATTTATTTTATAAATTTTAGTAAAAAATATTTGCTATATAAAAATGTATCTATTTGATATGAAGTTGGATCATATAGTAGACATAAAATACCACAAAGTATGTAGTTAAAACTATTCAATAAATAACATCATATATAATAATTAAATATATATATATATATATATATATCCATCCATATATCCTTACATGAAGCATATAACATATCTTTTGTTACAAACATCTAATAAAAAGATTCTACAAATATTTTAAAATATTTTATCATGTTCTAGAAGGTTCTAAAAGATTTTTAAAATATTCTAATAGAAGATTTTTAAAAGATTTTTATAAAGTTTTAGAAAGTCTTAGAATATTTTAATAGATTTTAAAAAATACTAAGAAGATTAAGGAAGTTATTTGAGAACCTTCTTAGGATTGCTTTGTCTTCAAGCAATATGAGAACTTGAAAAACTTCCTAATACTGTCAAGGACAAAGACTCGATGAAGAAAAATATACACAAAAAGGCTATCTCGATATAATAAGTCAAAATATAAACAAGTAGGTATATTAAAAGGAAACTGGAATGGCTATTGCCACAAGACAAGAAACTAAAGACTCTTGAACCTGGACTAGAAGCAAGAAAAGAGTTGACAAGAGTGAAGAAGCCTTCACTCTTGTCTCTATATATACTATTTAACTAGGGGCTACGTGGCGACGTTCTATAGGACCTCCAATATGTGTTGACTTTGTAGGACACATGCCTTGACTTACAAGGCAAGTTTTTCTACGTATGGGCCACATAGTTAGCTTGATCTTCAAGCTAACAACATGTGTGGCACATGGCCAACTTGTTGACCACGTTTCTAATCCAAAAAGTCAATTAAAGACACCTATGAAGTCAAAGCAGCATCTAGGAAGTTTCTAGGAAGCTTCTATATTAAATATTATAGAATTAACTTACTTTTATCTATTTTTACTTACTTCTACCTATTTCTATATGTAATTATTAGCTTACATGATTATGGCCGTGACATTACCCCCCCTTCTAGAGACGAGTTCCACGAGGAGCGGTCATCATATGTTGAAGAAATCTATGATGCGACGAACTGTATTCGCCACATACTCTGATCTCTGTTCTCTTCGAAGATGATTGATAGGGCCTCTCAACCATCGGTAGTGTCCCATACCAGGGCGGGAAGACCACCCAGTTATTTGATCATTGTTGAGGCCTTCGTAACTTCCTTCGAATAGAATATTTGGAACACCATCAGGAGTTGTTCCTACCTCTAGCAAAATCACCAAACATCGGGAGTCCCTTCCCAAATCGTGATACCAAACGCGTTGTATCTCACCATCTATTCGAGGAAGAACATGTCGTTCTTGAAGATGTTCATCTCGATTGCGTCGTCTTGAAGGTTGTGACAATCGTAATATCTCATCCGGCAGGTCAGCAAACGAAGGTTCTTGAGTTGAATCCGCTGGTTGTTGGCTCTCCATCTAATTAGCGTCACAAATGTAAAGAAGTTACAAACAAGGATAGGAAATTGAATGTTATCTTGCCTCAATCTTGTCTCTTTTATAAGAGAGATTTTCATCTTGGTTTCGATGGATGTCGTTGATGAAAAACTTTGACTTTAGCTGATGCATTTCCTAGATTCCTGGATGGCTCCCATGTGCATTCACTAATATCATATCCGCGCCAATGAACAAGATATTCCACCTTATTTCGGCGCCGCCTTGAGTCTAATATCTCTTCCACCTCAAATTCTTCATTATTATCTACTTCTATAGGAGGCGGTGGCATTTGTCTTCTTCCTTGTATATCCACTATCTTATATGGTTCAAGAAGAGACACGTGGAATATAGGATGGATCTTCATTGACTCCGGTAGATGTAACCGATATGCAACTGGGTTGATCTGTTCAGAAACAGAAAAGGGGCCAAGCCTACAATAGTCCAACTTGTCACAAGGTCGAGTAGTCTTGATATTGCGACGAAGTAGCCATATCTTATCACCCACATTGAGTTGTGGTTGCTCCTTACGATATAGATCTGCGTTTATCTTTTGTCGTTCTTGAGCTTCCTTCAATTGCATCTTCATTATTGCATGTAACTCTGACAACCGATTTGCCATATCTTCTGCTGCAGGATTATCAACTTTTGAAAAATCAAAAGTATCAAGTCGTGGATGATAGCCATAATTGGCAAAGAAAGGTGTTTGTTGCGTGGAAGTATGTACCCTATTATTATAAGCAAACTCTGCCAATGGCAGAAGGGTTGTCCAATCATCTTGTTGGTAGTTGATAGTACACCTTAAATATTGCTCCAAGACTTGGTTTACGCGCTCTGTTTGTCCATCAGTTTGAGGATGGAAAGCCGAAGATAGCTTTATGTCCACTTTTAAAATCTTGAAAAGGGTCCTCCAAAATCTTGACACAAATTGAGTTCCCCTATCTGATATGATATCTTTAGGTAATCCATGATAGCGATAGATATTATCAATGAAAAGCTTAGCTGTTTCTTCACCTGTGATAGATTTTGTACATGGCACAAAATGTGCCATCTTGGTGAAACGATCTACTATCACACATATAGAATCATAAGATCTTGAGCTTGGAAGATCTGTGATGAAATCCATAGAAACAGAAGACCATGGTTGTTCTGGTATAGGTAATGGCTGAAGAAGTCCGTAAGGTTGATGACGAGGAATTTTTGATCTTGAACAAATATCACATGATTGTACAAAGTCTTTGACTGACTTCCACATTTGTGGCCACCAAAAATCTCTTGATATGAGTTCCAAAGTCTTATTATATCCAAAGTGCCCTGCTGCTGGAAAGTCATGACGTGCTTGAAGAACACGTAAACGTGCTTCTCCTTCTGGAACATATAGGCGTCCTTCAAAATATAATAGATTATTCTTGAACTCGAACTTAGAAGGATCATGAGACTTGGAAGAATTATTCTCGATATCATAAACAAGAGGGTCTGAGGACATACTAGACTGGATTTGCTTGAGAAAAGTTGAATCAACAGTCAATGTTGATTTCATTCCTCGGAGATGAAATTGCTCTGGTTTCAAGAAGACCGTTCTTTGTTGCTCAAAAGCTGCATCTCCTTCTTTTGGTATAAAATAAGAACGTCTAGATAGGGCATCAGATAAACCTTGTTATTTTCCTGGCCGATAAGTGATAATAAACTCGAATCTTGACAAAGACATACTCCAACGAGCTTGACGACGATTCAACACGCGTGCTGACATGAAATACTCGAGGTTCTTGTGATCTGTATACACAGTGACTGGACTAGAAGCGCCTTCTAGATAATGACGCCATTCTTGAAAGGAATCCACGATCGCAAGAAGTTCTTTATCGTGGATCTCATAATTGATCTCGGCTGTTGAGAATTTTCTTGAATGAAAAGCTATCGGATGAAGTTTGTCATCTGTTCCCATTTGTGATAAAACTGCACCCAAGGCAAAATCTGATGCATCTGTTTCCATAAAAAATGCCTTGGAAAAGTCAACACGATATAAGACTGGTGCAGAGACAAACGATGTCTTCAAGGCTTCAAATGCTGCTTCCGCTTCTTGATTCCATTGAAATTTATCTTTACTAGTCAAGCGTGTAAGTGGAGCTGCAACTCGTGAGAAATCTTTGATGAAGATCCGATAGTAATTGGCAAATCCCAAGAAACATTGGATATCTCTTACCGTCCTTGGAATCTTCCAATCCATGATTGTTTGGACTTTCTTAGAATCCATCATGAGACCATCATTTGAAATGATGTATCCTAAAAAGTCAACTTGAGTAGTGTGAAATACACACTTTTCCATCTTGGCGTACAATCCTGCATCTCTAAGTTTTTGTAATACTTGACGAACATGTATTTCATGTTCTTCGACGTTCTTAGAATAGATCAGGATATCGTCTAGATAGCAGACGACAAAATTGTCTAAGAATTCACGAAATACATCATTCATGAGATGTTGAAAAGCAGCTGGTGCATTCGTGAGTCCAAAGGGCATGACATTATATTCGAAATGTCCATACCTGGTTCGAAATGCAGTCTTCCATTCATCTCCTTCTTTGATCCGTACTAGATTATATGCTCCTCTTAGATCTATTTTTGTATAGATCTTAGCTTGATTCAATTGGTCAAGGAGTCCTGATATGAAAGATAATGGATACCTGTTCTTGATTGTGATCTTGTTGA